TTAAAAAAAAAAATCATATATACTATATATATATATATATATAATATTTTTATTTTTATCTAATACTTATCTCTAGTATGAGGTGTGTATATATGTCTCGCAAATAATAAAAAAAATAAAATAAAAATATTTGACATTTTGATGGTCTCTCTCTCTCTCTCTCTCTCTCTCTCTCTCTCTCTCTCTCTCTCTCTCTCTCTCTCTCTCTCTCTGGAAAAGCCAGACCTGATATAAACACTACAGTACTTAATATAATATAATATTAATTCCTTATATATAATATATATACAGTATATATGGTATGTGTGAGTACCTTATTTGATATAATTTATGACTTTTTTTTAATCGGTGAGTGAGTGAGTGAGTGAGTGAGCAGAGAGAGAGAGAGAGAGAGAGAGAGAGAGAGAGAGAGAGAGAGAGCTGTTTATCAAAAGAAGTTGTTGTTGTTTTTTAATCCTATTTCACATATATTTTTTTGGTGCTTAACTTAATACATATATACAGTCTATATACTGTATATAAAACCACTTTTCTAGTGGTGAGAGATAGTTAGTTAGTTAGGAGAAGCACTTGCATTACATTATATTATATTATAGTTGAATATAACACACATAACTATCTCTCTCTCTCTCTCTCTCTCTCTCTCTCTCTCTCTCTCTCTCTCTCTCTCTCTCTCTCTCTCTTCCAATGAAAGATAAGATTAAACCTTAAAAAAATATATAAGTCTTTCCTAGAAATAGTCAGAGAGAGAGAGAGAGAGAGAGAGAGAGAGAGAGAGAGAGAGAGAGAGAGAGAGAGAAAGGGAGAGAAAATAAATGATTTCACGGATAATATTATATAAACTTTTATATATATATATATGTATAAAAATATAACATTCAGTATTTTTTTGATGATTTAAAAAAATTGATGTTTTGATTGCCCGCAACAACAACAACAAAAAATAAGTTATATTTAGTTATATACTAATATCTAATAATAAATGATTGATTGAGCGCTTAATATACATACTCGAGATTATATATAATATTATATAATATTATTATTATATTATATATACAATACATAACTGCTGTGTTTGTTGTGTTGTGTTTTAATTAGAAAATAACTATTTCCTTATACAGGTATATACAGTATATATAATATATTAATAATATTTTTATTTTATTTGTGTAACTTTTATGAATGTAATAACATTTTTTTCAATCTCTCACTCACTCACTCACTCAGACAACACACACATTATTATCATTAATAATACAATATTATAAATAAGGGAAAAGTATTTTTAGAGGTTATGTAGTTTTATATATAAATATAGTCTTATCATTCATCCACACAGACACAGACACACACACACACACACTATCATAGCATACGTTTCCCTATTGAAACAACCCTTTCCAAATGGTTGATCAGTATCTCCCAAACCCACATCCCGTTCCTTATAATGGATAGGTATATGCTATATGTGCACACACACAGGTATCTTAATTAACAACCTTAACTAACAATAGGTAATCTACAATATAGAAAATAAATAAAACCAAAAAACAACAAATAATTTATAATTGATGTCTACCTACTAGTATTAAATACTGTATATATATATATATATATATATATATATATATATATATATATATATATATATATATATATATATATATATATATATATATATATATAAAGCTAATGTTATCAATCATTTTGGTTTTATGCTAGGATGAGTAATATCCTTATCCTAGGATCCCATTCCTAGTCAGATCCCATTCCCATCCTATTTAGATGGAACGTTGACTTTTTGTATGTGTGTGTGTGTGTGTGTATGTGTGTGTATGTGTGTGTATGTGTGTGTATGTGTGTGTATGTGTGTGTATGTGTGTGTGTGTGTGTATGTGTGTGTATGTGTGTGTATGTGTGTGTATGTGTGTGTGTATGTGTGTGTATGTGTGTGTGTGTATGTGTGTGTGTGTATGTGTGTGTTTGTGTGTGTATGTGTGTGTATGTGTGTGTATGTGTGTGTATGTGTGTGTATGTGTGTGTATGTGTGTGTATGTATGTGTGTATGTGTGTGTGTTTTTTTCAATAGTGTCTAATAGCTTAGGTATCTAAGTGGGGATGGATATACATGTAGAGTGTAGATCCGTTTTCATATTAATAATAATAATAAAAAAAAGGGTAAACCGATGATAATAAAAATAAAATAATAATTAAATAGTAATAAAAATCATTTGGATTTAATAGTTTTAAAACATGAGTACAGTATAATCATTAAATAAAATAAAATAATTTTAACTATAAATAATTGATGATTTTTTTTTTAGTTGTTGATCGCAAACATTGTGTGTGTGTTTGTGATTATATTATTTAGTCGACAATTAACTATAAAATTTTTGTTAAACAACATATATATATATATATATATATATAACTCTTTGATATATACAGTATTAGAAATAATAAAAAATAAAATAATAATAATCCAAATAATAATAATACAGTAGTATTAATAATAATGACTTTTTTCATGACTTTCTCTCTCTCTCTCTCTCTCTCTCTCTCTCTCTCTCTCTCTCTTAATGCAATTGAAAGCATTTTTTTGTTGGTACCCCCGAAATATACAGTATATACTATATATATATACATGAAAACCATTAGTATGTTTAATGTGTTTGTTTGTGTTTGAAATATATTAGGAGTTTCCAACTTTTATTTTTTTTTTGATCTCAAGCGCCGGTATTTTAAAATATTTTAAAAATAAATAAATAAAAGTCAAAAATCGCGGACCAAATGGGGTTTAGTAGTTAAAAAACATTTGTATTGTTATTATATATATATATACTGTATTTGTAGATAAGATTATTATATTATTTTTTTTGTGTATATGTTATTATAAAGTTTAGTTTAGTTTATAATTTTTTTAGTTAAAGTTTAAAAAACTTTTTTTTTATTTTATTTTTATTATGATTCTCACGCATCCAAACAAAACTAATAATATCATACAAATAATAATAATTTCTATCATGTATTATATTAATAATAATAATAATAATAATGAAATTTTAGTGTTTTCACAACCATTAAAAAACATTATTATTATTATAAAAATTAATGCAATTTATTATTATTAATTTTTTTCATCATTAAATTTTTACATAAGATATATATACTGTATATAATATATAGACTTATTCACACACATATCATATAATATAATACTTAATGATATTATATATAATATATATATACTGTATATATGCAGTGATAAACAACATTAAGAAATTGTGTTTTTATTATTAATATATAATTTTTAATATTATATATATATTTAAATGATAGTAAAAGTGGTTTTTCACTGTATTTTTTTTATTCATATGTAATGATATTTTTATATTATTATTATTTAAATCTAAAAATTAAATTGTTTTTTGTTATTGTTATGTAAGTGTGTATATGTATGTATGTATGTGTGTGTGTGTGTATGTATGTATGTATGTATGTATGTATGTATGTATGTATGTATGTATGTATGTATGTATGTATGTATGTATGTATGTATGTATGTATGTATGTATGTATGTATGTGTGTATGTGTGTGTGGTGTCTGAGCTCTTCAAGTAGTGAAAGACATAAAATAAAATTTATAAAAAAAATTTAAAAATAAGAATTTTAAACAAAAAAAAATTATAATCATTTTTAGATGATATATATTATATAATATAAAGTATATATAAAATAATAGTTGACTTATGCACATGTATACAACTATATATATATATATATATATATATTGCTGAGGAGGAATGGTAGATATATGACAGCCTCAGCAATCAGTTTTAGATATATATATATATATATATATATRTTATATACAGTATATATAAATGTTTTTCGCCCTAAAGGACATTCAAATAGTGTGCACCACTTTTGAACAGTTTTGCCAAAATTATAGGTCTGTCTCTCTTTAATCTCTCTCTCTCTCTCTCTCTCTCACTGTTGCTCTCTGGCTCTCTCTGTCAGTACCGGTATATATATATATATCTCATATGAAATGCATGTGCTGTTGGTGTTGTTGTTGTTGGGATAGGTAGGCAAAAGGTAAACGTACCCCAACTGACTACAAGTTTTTTTTCACTATTAAAGTAAGCTTTTTCACTCACTAGCTCTCTCTCAAACACTCACACACACCACACAGTTAGTCAATGATTGGCAATTAGAGAGAGAGAGAGAGAGAGAGAGAGAGAGAGAGAGAGAGAGAGAGTTGCGCCACAGGTGAGGGCTTATATAACATTTTGAACCGTACAGACAACATGTTTCTCTCTCTCTCTCTCTCTACTGTATTATAGTTTATTAACAATACCAGTGCGCGTATCACCACCACTATCACCACCGGTGCGCTTATGTATGTATCTCCTACAGAAAAACGCTATACCTTTAGTATATATATATATATATATATATACTGTATATAACTTTTTTTTAAAAAAGTTTTCATAAGTTTTCCCAAATAAATGAGATGATACTATACTACTTGAGAGTGAGTGAGTGAGTGTTGCAAATAAAATATATATATATAAAAAAACGTTTTTTTACTGTAAAAAAAGTTTAAAGATTTTGTTTTTAAAGTCCCAACAAGTTTTTAGTTGAAATTTTTTTTCCTATTTTAGTTGAAAAACATCTAATATTTTTTGGTGATCAACTTTTTTTTCAATCATTTATCTATACTATATATATATACAGTATATGTATATAGTGTAGTATATAATGAAAAATAGTTTTTATTTAGTATTTTAAAAATATAAAGTTAAATATTTTTTTTTAAACAAAAACTTTTTGCTAGGAATCGGTATGCAATTTTTGATTGCATTGCCTGTCATTTGCCTACCAGTGCCGCAATATTTACCAATATTGCCCAAAACATACACATTTTAGTTGTATAAACACCATCACCAATAAATACCACATCCCAGTGCTCTCTGGAAAAAATTTGATATGCGATGAGATGGTCTCGCAGATGGTTGCGCTATCTAACTGTTACGTGTCTGGCCATCATTTTGACAGTGTTTCTACTGCTATCGGTGCTTACCGACGACACCATCATATGCTTAAATTGTGGTGTCAACAACAACAACAACGGTGCGGCCAACGAGGCCCTAGGCATCGGCCCTACCCGTCCAGGCATTGTCGGCGGTAGCACTGGCCGTACTATTAGACAGTTTACCGATAATAATAATATCAATAACAATGAATTTAATACAATTTTAACCAATGATTATCGTTTACCCGATTTTAAACCACGATTTCATTTGAAACGTAACTCAACGGGACTATTGGCCTCGGAATGGCGGTCATCAGTACCCGATAATAGACTATTAGATATATTAGATTTTAAGTTTATACACAATGGTTCCCATTTGTGTGGTCATCATCATCATCGACCATCATCTCTACCATCATCAACAACATCATCATCATTGCTAAGTGAACAGCCGTTTTTGGTGACATTAGTTCATTCATCGCCGAAAAACTTTGCCAAACGCCAGATAATTAGGCGGACCTGGGGTTCAGTCAGGGATGTAAACGGTAACAAAGTGCTGCTGGTATTCATATTAGGTGTGAGCCCCCCAACCAAGCACAGTGACAATGCTATCAACAATAATAACACCGTAGCTAATGGTGTCGACACAACCGACAAAAAATTGTTGGACAATGAGCTCAGAGAGCATAACGATATAGTTGTCGGCAATTTTTTGGATACCTATAGAAATCTAACACTGAAACACTTGACTGGCTATAAATGGATACTTAGATATTGTAATCAAACAAAATTCATAATGAAATCGGATGACGACTCCTTTATTGATATCTACCGTTCCGTTCAGGTACTCATCGATACGTTTTATACATCCAGCCCAACCTCCTCATCATCAGCTAACAGTGCTAATAATAATCTTATAGACAATCATTTACCGAGAAATATAATCGCCTGTTCACTATTCCCGACGGGTACCCAACCTAAACGTTCGGGTAAATGGTCGCTAACCTATCAGGAGTATCCCTATCGTACGTTTCCGGCCTATTGTTCAGGTGTAGCCTATTTCCTGACCACCGATATAGTGTACGATATATACGAAGCCGCGCATCAAATCCGACCAGTCCTACCCATAGATGATCTGTACATTACGGGCATAGTTGCCGCCTATCTTAACATCAATCATTATCCATTGAATTTTAAGTATCTATACGATCATAAAAAATTAAGACAATGGTTATATCAATCGGACATCAATTATGAATCTAACAGTCCTCAGCTAGCCGTAGGTACCGGTGCTGATGGTCGAGCAGTTAGACTGTTGCCAAAACAAAATGCTTATTATTATATGATTGCCGATATAGGGGATGTCCCCGATTGGCAGCACCTAATGTTAAGCTTATGGACTAAAACCAAAAAGTTTTATCAGATATGATAGATAGAGAGAGAGTGAGAGAGAGAGAGAGAGAGAGAGAGAGAGAGAGAGAGAGAGAGAGATAAATAAACAACAAACAAATATTAATAATTTATTAATAATAATAATACTGTACTAATACTAATCATAATAATAATAATAATTTTTGTTTTGTATTTTCCTATCTCTCTCTCTCCCCTATTGTGTTGAATAATAACTTATTATTTATTTATTTTTTGTGCATTTTTTTTTTAAATCTTATTTTGTTTAGTTATTTTGCTGTATATATTATATTATGTACGGTATGTATGTGTGTGTGTGTGTGTGTGTGTGTGTGTGTGTTGTGTGTGTGTGTGTGTGTATGTGTGTGTATGTGTGTGTATGTATGCATGCAAAAGTGCAAATTGTTTTATTCAACAATGAATTGCTTAAAACATAACCAACAAAAAAAAAACATTTTTGTTAAATGACTTCATTGCTAATAATAATAATAATAATAATAATACTAATAATAATTATTATTATTATTATAATACTGTAGTAATGCTGTAATAATATTAACATTTAAACATTAATAATAATAATATATTTTAGTTTTGTTTTTGATATTTAAAATTCAATATCAAAGTTGTTTCTCTCATGTAATATATATATATATATAATAGTAGTTTGTTTTTTTTGTTGGCCATACCTACACACACACACACACACACACACATACACACATACATACATACATACATACGTACACATACACACACATACATACACATAAATGACTATATTATAAATAGATAAATTATTAATGAAAACTATACCACAAACTTGTTTTAATAATACAGTATATATTATATATATATTTGGTACACAAATATTTTTCCTGGTTATAAAAAATTCAATTATTTTAATATATATCATAATACAAAAAAATAAAAATAAAATATACTAGATTAATTTACATGAGAAATATTTTTGTTTGTTAATATTTTTTGTGAATTATATATATATATATATATATATGTATATTAATATATACAGTGAGAGAGATTATATAATAATTTAAATAATAACAATGAAATAATATATATTAATAGATATTAACACTGTATACACTTATATATATATATACAGTATATAAATGCTATTATATATTATAATTATATATAAGTTATAATTATTATAAAGTTTAAATTGTGTGTACCTGTAAATAGTTGATGTAATAATAATAATAATAATAATAATAATAATAATATATAAAATTAAATGATTTTTTTTATATAAAATATTTTTATAGCTTGTATTATAATTATTGTGAAATAAAAACTTTTAACCCATGTATTTAACTTTTATTATTTATTTAATTTTATTTTATATAACAATTATTTATATTATTTATATATTTTTAACCTTTAATAATAAAATGTAAATTTATAAATGTGAGAAATAATTTCTAACTACAATTATAATTATTATTATAATTATAATTTATATTTTTTTCAAAAAATAAATAAATAAATAAAACAAAGAAAATATAATGTATTTAATGAAAATTATTATTTTATTTTTAATATTTTTTTGTGTTTAGTAATTGTTATTTTACTGGTTATATATTGTACAGTATATATATATATATACATATATATATATATATATATATATATATAACAATAAATATAATAATAATTGTTGAGAAAATATATAATTTATTTCGTGTAAAAAATATATGTAAATTCATGTTTTTATTTTATTTATTTTTTTTGTGTCTAATCATTAAACAAAATACAATAAAATAAAATCATATACTCATCACTAATGTATATTGAATGATATTTTTTGTATTTACAATATACTAGTAATTGATTTTATTTTTATTTATTTTTAAAAAAAAACAACAAAAATGTTTTCTCAATATGTATTTCAAAAAAAAAATTACAAAAATATACTTAACTATTAACTATATTACTGTAAAGTAAAGTACAGTTTTAAAGTTTTTTTGTTGTGTGTATACAGTATATTACTGTATATATATATATATATATATATACGGTATATAAATTGATAAATAATAATAATAATAAATAATAATTTTTGTTTCCTTACCATATAAGTTATGTTTGTTTCAAAATTGCAAATATATATATATATATATATTTCCATTACCATATATATCAACAATGAAAAAAATCAATAATAAATAATAATAATAATGTAATAAATATTATATATATACAGTATATATATATATATATATATATATATATATAYAAATAAACAAATATTATACAAATATTTTTGAATATAAATTACTTAAAGATAAAATTGTTGTTAAACTAAATATAAGGAGTTAGTGAATGAGTGATATGTTTTTAAAGTATTTAAAAAAATTATTAATATTTTATTTTTTAAAAATAATTATTTGGTTGAATATTTTCCACCAAAAATATTAATAAAAAATATAGTTTTTTATGACAAATTATGTGTTGGCTTTTTTACTTTAATATATTATTATTATTATATTATAGGGATATTATATGGAAAATAAATTATGGTTCAAAAAAATTTTGTTTAACCCCTTTACATAAGTTTAGATTTATTATTATTATTTTTTTTAATTATTATTAATTTTAACTTTATATATATATACATAAATACACATTGAATTTATAGTTTATTATTAATTTTGTTTTTTTGAAATCAATATTATTATTAATATATGTATGAAAAATTTGTTGTGTTTAACAAACAAAAATAATTAATAATTATTATAATTATTTATCAATCATTAAATATGAGGAAAAATTATTATTTTTCAAATTTTTTAGATTATTATTATTTTAAAGTTTAATATTTATAGTAAAACAATTATTTTTTGTTTAAAAAAACAAACTATTAATACTAAATTAATTTATAAAAAAAATCAAAATAATATATTTGTTTTTTTGTTAGTTTGTTTGGTTGATTGATAAGTATAGTTGTAATATTAAACTTAATATATTATATTACTGTATATATATATCAGGGTTAAGCAAGGTTTTGGATTTTAGGGGGGGTAGACCGGGGTAAAATTTACAAAATTCTCAAAAAATCTTGGGGGGGGGGGTATTGGGTGGGGTAAGATTTTTATTGCATTTTTAAACGGCAATTTTTTCAAAAATCCAAAATCAAGGGGGGGGGGTCAAGAGAAAATTCCCTAAAAATTCCTTAAGTTCCCGAATATTCCCATGTAAATTCAATAAAATTCCCACAAGTTCCCGTATAAATTCCCGGGAAAATAGGTAAAATTTCCAAAAATATAAAAAAAAACTTAAAAAACTTAAAAATTAACAAAAATTTAAATTTTAACAAAAAATAAATATTTTTTAAAAAAATTTTTTAAAATTAATAAAAACTTAAATTTTAACAAAAAAAAAATAAAATAATGTATTTAAGATTTAAAAATAGTTGATAAAAGCATTAATGATACACTATGAGTTATTTTTAGTATTTTAATAATTTTTAACTTTTAACATAATTAATTTTTTAAACAATACTTAATGTTTATAGTTTGTTATATATTTTTATTTTTATACAAATACTGACTGAATACTACTTATTTAACTCAAATTTCGTTAAAGTTTAATTATATTAAGTACAAAATTGAAAATATTTTTAAATTTTTTATTTAAAATTTAAAAATTATTAATAAAAACATAAGTATTTATTGTTTTATTAACTTCTTAAACTTATATTTAAATTGTAATATGATTACTCTTTTCAACAAATAGGTAATTTTTAATTTTTTAGTTTATTTTAATTAAAATAATGTTATTTTTTGATGACTTTTAACGTTATTTTAACTATTTTTAATCAATAATTAGATTTTTATAAATATTATAAACATAAAAACACTTACTAAAATAGTATCAACTAAAATTAAAATTTTTATAAATTTCAAAAAAATTTTCGGCGCCTTCGGCGCCGAAATTTTAGGGGGGGGGTCATTTCTCCTCGTTTTTAAGCGACAATTTTTTCAATTTGGTCAAAAAGTCTGGGGGGGTAAAATCCCAATTTCTCGATCTTAGGGGGGGGTATTTTGGCCTTACCCCCCTACCCCCCCCCTACTTAACCCTGATATATATATATACTGTATGTATAATAAATATATATATTATAATAAACAAGTTTATTAACAAAGTTATTAAAAAAAACAGTTATTAAATTCAATGTTTAGACACAATTCAAAACTAAATAAATAAATTTATTAATATTTTCTAATATATATATAATGTTAATAAAAAAATAATTTTTTTTCTGGTATTAATAAGTAGCCATTTTCTCTCAGATTATTAATTATAATTATATAAACAATTTTTTTTGTTTTGCTTTTATATTGTTGCTGTACATCATATTATTCATCATATATTTTATTTTATGTGTGTGTGTGTGAATATATTGTATATATATATATATATATATATATATATATAATTTATATTATATACAGTAAAAATATATTTCATTTTATAGAGACAACCAGTTGAATGAGTATATAATATATGTATTATATATATATATATATATAATACTTTATAATCCAGTTTATGTTTAGGAAGATTAATGGATATTATTTATATAACATAATATAGAGATAAAAGTTTAGATAATAATAATAATAATAATAATAAATATTGTTAAATAATATTTTATCAGGTACACATATAAACAAATATAAATTATTATTTTTTTTTACTTATTTGTTGTTGTTTTTTAATTATCATATTTTATGAATCAACTAATAAATCAAAAAATTATCATCAAATAGATATATATAGATAACTATTTAGTTATTAACTAATCTTTTTTTTATATCGACCTTAAGTTTGAAAGTCACTAATAATAATAATAATACTAAAAATATTGGGAAAAAAATTATTTTTTTTTGTTATTAAAGTTTTATTTTTTATTTATTTATTTGATGACCACCAGAGTCTCTATCACTTTTGAATATTTAAATTCAATAAAAAAAATTATATATATATATATATAAACAACAAAATATTAATCTTTTAATTAAATCGATTAAATAAAACGATTAAATATTATCTAATTTTAATATAAAAAATTTAATTTATTTTATTTGTTTGTTTGTTTGTTTCAAATGTTGTCCAGTGATTGACACTAAATATATATATATATATTATTATCGATGAAATTATTTATTTATTTATATGAATTTAATTAAGAGAAAAAAAATAATTAAAATAAAATTTTAAAAAAAACTTAATTTTTTTCCACCAGAAAAAAAGTTATACAACAAAAATTTGTTACATTTTATCAAATATTTTTTTTGCATAATAATTATAATACAGCAATATATAAAAAAAATATCATTAAAAATTCAAAAATTACTTTTTTTTAAATGGAAAATTTAATGAAATTATGATGATAAAATTAAATTAAAACTAAAAAAACATAGAAAATAAAAATAAATTTTTTTTAAGTGATTAATCAAACACTTGCTGTAATTGTTATAATCAAAAATTAAATTTAAAAATGTATTTATTATATAGATATATATATTTAAAATGTTTTTTTTTAAAATATAATTGCAAACAAACTTTTATTTCTAAAAAAAACTTAATTTTTTAATTATTAATACTATTTTATAATATTATTTTTTAAAACAAATTTTTACATTAGATTAAAACAAACTAAACTAAATTATTACTAAATTTTTTACTAAATATATAAATAAATTATACAAACTTTTAACACATTATATAACACGAGTAATAATTTTTTTTATTATTAAAAATTATCAAAATATCAAATATATTAATAATTTTTTTTATATATATATATATATTTTCTGCCATATCATATATCCAGTACATAATAATCCAATATATATACTGTATATCAGTGTATGGTATGAATTGACTGTTTTTTATGTATATTAATATTTTCAATAATAATAATCAATGGGTGTGTTATTTATATATACAGTATATTAATATACTGTATATTACTGTAATATACTGTATGTATGTATAGAAAGCCAACCAAACAGTAATGTTAAGTCAAAATTGCAGTCAAAAACATAGTAAACACAACACTACTGTATGTATTAATATGTATTGACTCTACAATTAAAACGCTTAAAACACATTGTATTGGATTGCAATGTAAAGTCATTTAACATTACTATACAATACAACACTATTATAATAATAGTTATTATTATTATTACTGTATTAGTCATACAATTGATTAACTGATTGATTGATCGATTGATCGGCCGATTATCTCCAGCCAAGTGGTCACTAACCGATCCGCTGTCACCACCGCCGCCGCCGCCGCCAATGTGTATGTCCTGTCAATAATAACAACAACACAAACAACGTGTCCACCCGATTGTCTGCCGGCCTGACCGACTGTCCGCCCGTAAAAATCAAGTGTCCAATACAGACAACAACAACACGTGTGTGTGTGTGTGTGACCACTGCCGCCGCCGTCGCCGCCCGTCAGCCACAACAACAACAAGAATAACCAATTGGTTGTTTTGAACGACCACTACTTCATTGACCTCCTCCTCCTCCTCCTTGTCCTCGTTGTTGTCGTTATCGTTGTCATTGATTGAGAGACGACAACTCCCGATAGATAGATAGATAGATAGATATCGGGATCGACGACAACAATCACAGCACACGCAAGAAATATGCTAACACTTCACGACGGAAACGAAAACACGTCGTCGGCGTCATCGTCGGCGACGTCATCGCCGCCGCCGCCGACAACACAATCTAATGCCAAACACCGACAACAACAACAACAACAGTCGCCATCGTTGTCGCCCAACTCAGACATCAACAATAAGGTATTGATTGAAACCTATTTGGACGAAACTGATCCACTAATCTGTCTCTCTCTCTCTCTCTCTCTCTCTCCCACTCATTGGTTGTCGATTGCCGTGAAAAGACACGCTCAGACACCGTAGACTTGGATGAATCGCCGCTAGTGGTGGACATATCCGATGCGCTGAGCGAAAGAGATCGGGTAAAGTTTACAATACATACAAAGGTAAGATTATAATCGTGCGGGTAATCACTCCCCCCCCCCGAAACTGATTGATTGATTGGCCTATTAATTGACGTCCATTTTTTGTCTCCCGGCCGCACAGACCAAACTACCAGAGTTTAAGTCATCGGAGTTTTCGGTTGTCCGACAGCACGAAGAGTTTATTTGGCTGCACACGAGTCTTGTCGATAATGAACTATACGCCGGTTTTATTGTATGATTACCCCATCCAATACCATACCATCACATGTATGGCCCACCAAATTGACTAATTGTTTCCCATTTTGTTGTTTGCTGTCTATATGTATAGATACCGCCGGCACCTCCTCGACCCGATTTTGATGCCTCACGCGAAAAGCTCCAGAAGCTGGGCGAAGGCGAAGGTACGATGACTAAGGAAGAGTTTCAGAAGATGAAACAGGAGTTGGAGGCCGAATATTTGGCAACATTTAAGAAGACAGTGGCAATGCATGAAGTATTTCTACAACGGCTGGCCATTCATCCGAAGTTTAGGGGCGACCAAAACTTTCGTATATTTCTTGAATACGATAGCGATGTATGTATTGGTTGTTGTTGTTGTTGTCTTTAGATGTGGAAGAATAGAGCTGTGAATCTAATCTCTTTTGTGTCCATTTTTTTTTATAAAAAAAATAGTTGAGTGTTCGGGGAAAGAACAAGAAGGAAAAACTGGTCGGACTGTTCAGTAATATTAGATCATCAGCTGATGATATGCTGTTGAGTACGACAATGAAAGATGTCGACGAATTTTTCGAAAAAGAGCGACAATTCTTAACCGAATATTTCAATCTAATCAAAGATTCGACCGGAAAAGCCGATCGGATGACCCGATCGCATAAGAGTATGTCGTTTTTAATGGTTAAAACCATTTTGTTGTTGTTTATTAATTATCGGTAATTAATATCTCTCTCTCTCTCTCTGTCTCTGTCTCTCTCTCTCTCTCTCTGTCTATCTCTCTCTCTCTCTCTCTCTCTCTCTCTTTCTCTCTCTCTCTCTGTCTATCTCTCTCTCTCTCTCTGTCTATCTCTCTCTCTCTCTCTCTCTGTCTATCTCTGCCACCAAATCAATCAATCCAGATGTTGCCGATACCTATATTAAGATATCATCGGCGCTGATCCAGTTGGCCACTGTTGACCAAACAGATTTGGAAACATTCTATAGTAAAGTATCCGATTGTCTGGAAAAGGCCCGCAAAACTGAAGGACGTATTTCATCCGATGAAGACCTAAAACTATCTGATTTGCTTCGGTATTATATGCGCGACACTTCGGCTGCCAAAGTAATCAATTGATTTGTTTACCGATGGATTTAATTTACCGATAATTTTGTTTTTTATATCTATTAAGGATCTACTCTATCGGCGACTGAGATGTTTAGCCAATTACGAGACTGCAAACCGTAATCTAGAGAAAGCTCGCGGCCGTAACAAAGATATTCCCGCAGCCGAATCGGCTCAAGTAGAGGCCAGCGAAAAGTTTGACAACATATCGAGGCTAGCAAAACAAGGTATGTGTAGGGGTATAGTAGGCCCCACCCCAACCCCCACTATAAACCTAAATAATTATCGACAATTTTAACGCTAACTATTTGTTGTGTGTGTGTCTGTCCGCCCACTAGAGCTTCAAGACTATAAGACCCGAAGGGTGGCCGCCTTTCGCAAGAACTTAATCGAATTGGCCGAACTCGAGCTCAAGCATTCCAAGGTATGGTATTTGGATGCGTGTGTGTGTGTTGTGTTGTGTGTGTATGTATGTATGTATGTATGTATGTATGTATGTATGTATGTATGTATGTATGTATGTATGTATGTATGTATGTATGTATGTATGTATGTATGTATGTATGTATGTATGTATGTGTATGTATGTATGTGTATGTATGTATGTGTATGTATGTATGTATGTGTATGTATGTATGTGTGTGTGTGTGTGTATGTATGTATATGTGTATGTATGTGTATGTATGTATGTATGTGTGTGTGTATGTATATGTGTATGTATGTATGTATGTATGTGTGTATGTATGTATGTATGTGTGTGTATGTATATGTGTGTGTGTGTATGTATGTATGTTTGTATGTATGTGTATGTGTGTGTAAGTGGTTGATGACAACTACATTATATAAATGTTTTGTTTTTTGTTTAATTATCGATAAATGTTTTGTTTTGTAGGCCGAAGTCCAACTGCTTAAGACATGTTTGACATCACTTAAAGACAACGATATGAATGATTAACAAACACTCGAAAAAATAAGATGAAAATGAAAGTCAAAAAAAAAACAAATTTTTTTATAAATATTTTTTAGATATTAATCGACAGTTTTTTAATAAAAAAAATGGAAATCAATTGTTATAACAAAATTACAGCAAAATAATAGGTAATTAATTATTCACACAATTAGGAGGTTATGTTATAAACAGGTTTCGGACTCTGAATTTTATAATCAATTTTTTTTTTTAAAAATATATATATATTTGAAAAACAAAACAAATAGAGTATAAGTTATATATATATATTTGGGACCAAATTAGCAATTTTTTTAATATTTAGATAAATATGGAAACTATTATTTGTTTTGTGATTTTTTTGTGTGTGTTTGGCTAACAATCGATGTTAAATTATTTAGATTTTTTTTTAGTTTTTATTTTTTTTATTATTTGTTTTTTTTTGATGAATCAATTGATCCAAAATTTTTTGTTGGTTAACAACACTTAAGAAATCATTGACTTTTATTTAATTATTATTACATATATTTAAACAAAAAATTATTATTAAAGAGAAATATAATTATTATTTTGAAAAAACAAAAAACAAATTTTTTTTTATTATTATAATAACAAATTGAAAATTGTATATTATTTATAAAAAAAATTAGTTTTATTTAAATTTATATATATATATATATATATATTGATATATTTAAATATATAAATTATATTTACAATTAAAAAAAACAATACAAAAAATTGAGATAATTTTTTTGTGGAGAAAATTATTATTATAAAAAATGTTATACTATTTATAAATACCTATTAAATTATATTAATAAAATAAATAAATAAATATTACTTTTTATTAAATTTTTTGTTTGTTTATTTATTATTAATACTATTCATATGTTTTTAATAAATTTTATAATAATTTAAACTTATTTAGCAGTTTGTAAGTTAATTTTTTTTTAAATAAAAAATCTAAATATATGATATTATATACATATTATAAAGTTAATTAATAATTTTTTTTAAAAATTGGTAAATTGTTCAACAATTCAAATTTAATAAATATTTTCTAATAATAATTTAGTTTTATATATTAATAAATATAAAATAATTATTTTATTTTTTTATTTATATGACTTTAAAATAAATATGTATCAATTTATTTCTTATAATTTAAATTACAAATAATTAAATATATATATATATATATATATATATATATATATATTATATCATATAAATAACAATTTGAATTTATAGTATTTTAATATTTAACAAATATTATGCTTAAATATCTATTGTATAAATCTAAACTACTAATTATTTATTTAATTAATTAATTTTTTAGTTAATTAAATATTATTATTTTTTAAAAATCTACACATTATATTGTATTTGTATCATATACTGTATATATATATATATATATATATCAGGGTTAATTGGATTTTAGGGAGAGTCTAGTTAGGAGATCAAATCCCAAAATCTCTATATTAAGCGGGGGCGTGGGGGGCGGGCGTCAAATGGCTTTCTTAACCTTGATATACTGTGTGTGTATATATATATATATATCTATATTATTTATTAGTCAAATAACTAACAATATAAACAAACAATACAAACAACAAACCAAAAAAAATAGTTATTGTTTGTACTAATGTTTATATAATTAGTTAATTAATTTATATATTAAAAAAATATATAATTAATTAAAAAACACATTAATATTTTTAGTTTCGGCTAACAGTGCGTACAATCCATGATATTTGATGGGCTATCCTAACAAAATACATTAGACTATCCGTTGTTAATCCCGTACACGACTGTCCCTTTAATGCATCAACTTCGACTTGTATACCAATTAGGACAGCCCTATCATTAATGTATTGTATGAGTGGACCACCAGAATCACCCTTTAATATATATATATATATATATATATTTACAAACAAACAAACAAAAAATTAATTATAATTTATTTTCATAATTTTGGTATAATTTATTAGTATTAAACAAAAATTTATTATATATTATTAATCAGGGTGTTAAGCAAGATTTTAAGTGGGGGGAGGGGGGGATTGACTGGTGTGAAATTTACAAAATTCTCGAAAAATCTTGGGGGGAGGGATTTTGGCCTTAACCCCCTACCCCTTACTTAACGACCCTGATTATTAATATATATATATATATATATATATAAAAACAAAAAAAAATATTTATTTACTTACTTTACAAAGAGCCGATCCCGTATATTCGGGATCTCTTAATCCAATAATACATTTTCCGTATTCATCGGTAGTATTAGACATTTGTCCTGAAATCCTTGTCCAACCCATTCTCAGCCGATCCTCATTTGGTTGACTGTTATTTAAAAGTCCAAAACCGGCAAACAATGCAAACTCTTGTCTAAAATTAGTTAGACTTTCTTTTGGCAAACAAATACTATTCATTGTTTGTGTTGTATACATGAATTGATTGTCCGATTGTTGTACTACTGGTGCTGTTGATAATGGGTTGTTGGGTGTGGGTATCGGTAGTTCCTCTTTCAGTTTAATCAATCCAATGTCGTCACCAGTATTATGTGAGTACTCGTATACAGGATTTACAAAATGTTTGTCCGATTCATATGATTTTCCTAAAACACGTTTATCATTGATTCCCGGATAGACAACAATACTATCGATTTTGTAGTCTTTATACTCATTTTTGATCATAAATCTGATTAAATATTTTCAATTAATAAACAATAGTAAGCTATATATATATATATAATGTATATAATGTTTATATAGTTACTTATATAAACTTAATAAATATACTTAATAAAACTTTATTATTCAATTATAAATATCAAAAAAATTGATATTAAATTTTGATTGTATTTTTTTCAATAAAATAATATATTTTAAACATACAGTACATGTGCGGCAGTAATAATCCATTGTTTATTTAGTATAACTCCTGTTCCCGATATACTTCTATAGCAATCATTAAAACAACTATATAAAAAAAGATAACTATAATGTAATAACAATTAAACAAAAATATATAGGTGGGGGGAAGGGGTAGATTACAAAAATATTTTAAAAAATCTTGAGGTATAGGCTATAGGAGAGGTGGGTATGTGATGAAAAATTTTAATCCAAATTTGATTAAATACTCAATAAATAAACTTTTAAAGTGTTATAAATTGTTGTCAACTAATTGCTAACTTACAGCCAACTATCATATTTTAGTGTTACTTCAATGTATGTAATCCATGGCCACTCTCCCGGTTCAGCCACCCGTCCGTACTGTACTTCACTCAACATAAGTGATGATCTGTTATACCATTTAAGACAATGTCCGACATCTTTAGTCAACAACAGTGACTGACGTCCGATACCACACCTGTCGAGCGTTACGTTCGGATAGTCAACAATATCCGAGTGTTGGCCAGTCATCCACACAACAGCCGATACTATGTATACTATGTGTACGTGTTTTAGACAAAAATTTTATATTATAATTAAAATATATTATAATTATTAATATTTATATATATTTAAGTGACATTATATTATTTTCTTAAATATTTAAAAAAATATAAAATATTATATAATAAATAAATATAATTTAATGCAATCTACTATTGAGCTAATAATTAATTAATTAAATAATAACTAAATATAATGTAATTACCAATTATTATAATAATTACTAAACAATACATTATAATTATTTATTACACTTATTTACTGATTTTAATAATAATAATAATAATAATAATAATAATGATACACTTAACACTGTTTAGTAAAATAATTAAAATTATAATTTTTTTAAATTTGGTAAATTGTTCAACAAATCAACTAATATTATTATTTTCTAATAAAACATAAATTTTTATATATTAAATAGAAAATATTTTTTCATATATCTATATAATATGTCTCAATTTATTTCTTATGATTTAAATTACAAATAATTAAATATATATCTTAGAAATATAATATAATATTTAATGTTTTATATAATATTATATAAAAACTATAGTTTAAGTAATGATTGAAATAAATATACAGATATATTATAGCTTGTATTCAGTAATATTATAATATAATAGTGATATATGAATAGCAATTAACTGATTACTAACACTAGAGTTATATGAGTATTAAAATATTATTTAAGATATTATGTTAAAAAATTGTTTAAAAAAATAGATTATATTATTTTTGTAATTTAAATCATACGTAAAAAATCATATATAAATATCTATCTAATAATATAATATCTATATAATATGATATCTAATAATACTATTAGTATTAGTAATAATATTAAATATATTTATAGTATCTAATAATATATTTATATAAATCTATAATTTAAATCAAATCACACTAATTGAATTAATATTTTTTTTATAAATAATATTATTTATAGTTGTTTGTGGAAAAGTATCAAATTAAACATAACTTTAAATTAAAAATATCATTCAAACTAAATGGTGTAATGTTTGCTATAATAATAATATTGATTTATTTATTTAAAAAATTTAATATTAAATAATTGAAATAATATTTTGAAATCAAGTTACAGTAAATAAAAAAACAAATTTTCTATGTTATTATTAAAACTTTTAACTAAATAAAAAAATATTTAAATTTAATACTGGAATAATTGTTTTGTTTTTTAAAAAAAATATTATGAATTACTAACAAAATATGTTAACTAATTACTTATAATTATACAAAAATAGATTTTAATACAATTTTTATAGACTATTACTTATATTTATATATGATATCATTATTTAGATAACCAATGATATAATAATATTTATCTATTAAATAAAATAATTTAAAAAATTTTAATAGTTATTAGATTTAGATTTCAGTAATAATAATAATAAAGTATATAAAATATATATATTATATAATATCTGATAAAAAGGTATATAAAGGGCTTATAAATTGTGTTGTTTTTATATACTTTAAAACTGTTTAGTTATAATTAATTTTTTTTTAAATTTTTTTTATATTAAATTTTTTTTTGTATAGTTAAATACTAAGTACTATAATTTAGTTAATAATTATTTAGCAAACAATCAAAACAACAACTATGTTGTCTATTATATTGATTTTGCTATTGTTTTATCCAATAATGATAGCAAATTGTTGGGAACAACAATCGGCACATTTGGACAGTCGTGTATTGGACAGAGCAAACAACCGGACGGAACTCTACGAAGATTTGTTATACTCTATGAGTATTGATCGGCATTTCAAGGATAGTATGGTTGGCTGTCAAGACCATAACATACAGACCTATGAAGGCATTGTTAAGTTTGTTTTGGCCAACACTACCGCTCATCTATATATACTCACCAATGCCTACGACATAACAGATTTGGTTCAATTAACATATCATGGATCCCAACAAAAACCGTCGACACTCTACACATTGGAGATTAAAAAGAGAAGTAAAAATAATTATTATTTTATAATCAAAATGTTTTTTTCAAAAAAAAAAATAATTATATATTTTTTATATTTATTTTTTAAAAATATTTTCAGATATACACTGCAAAGTAAGGATCAGTCCGGTTGACAAAAATCGGTTCAAACTAACCGCCCGATTGGACAACGTAAAGCTCGTCAACAACTATATGGTTTAATTAAATATCTCTCTCTCTCTCTCTCTCTCTCTCTCTCTCTCTCTCTTTTATCTCTAATTAATTAAATTAAATTAAATTTATATATTTATTTTTCAAGGATCTAATTGGACAGAAATCGGCGGCACTGAAGGCCGATATACTTTACAGTTCAGTGATAGACAATCCCGCGAATACCATACAAGAGGAGACCATTAAGCATACAATTCACAAATCATTCACAACACAACTTAGTTGTCAAAACTTTACGAAAATCATCAAAAATGACTACAAAAGTGATTATTCGGTTCAAATTGGATTCAGATTCTGGTTTTATCCTGTGTTTAACGTTCAAAGACGTGATCTACTAATCGGACAACAAATCGACAATCAATTTAAAGGAGAAAGTATTATACAGACTGTGGATCAGACATATGAGATCAATAAAAAAATTACAGTCAATCCATATACGAGTGTCGAAGTGACAGCCGTTGTCCAAACGTTCAACAATATGAACAACTCATACACTGCCGATCTAATTGTTTCGGGCATCGGACCGAAATTCGGATCAACCGACCAATTAAAAGGTTTACAAATCTACGATATCCTATACCGCGACAACAAACTAAACGACAGCCTATCGATTAAAATCGGCAAAAATACTATTTCGATACCCGTCTCGGATACTATTGTGGCCACTTTCGCTGTCCGCTCGTACACAACAGTTAGGGATATCAGTAAAACCACTACAACATCACCAACAACAACAACAAGAACTATCACCACCGTTACCGACAGGACCACCACAACCAACAGTAATATACTAGTGCCGACACCAAATGGATGGGATAGCAATAAAGATATAATTTATCTAACTGATAGCGCATACCATACCTACACCTACAACTGGCCATTTATTATAATGATAGGTATGGCAGTTGTTGTTATGGTAGCGATGCTTATCGGCGGCATTTTTTACCGATATCGTAGATATTACTATAATTTTTAAACATATATATACGGTATATAATTATCTATTATTATTATTTAAATGTTATAAAATATTTATAATATTTTATAGTACTTTACTATATTAATTGATTTCATTTCATATATATTTTATTAATTGATTATATATTATATACTGTTTTAATTAATTACATTTATTTTTTGTATTAGTTATATATATTATTTCAATTATAAAAATTTCAAATCAAATATATTTAGAAAATTTTATATATTTTATTAATTGATTATATATTATATACTGTATTAATTAATTTTTTTATATTACTATATATATATATATTAGTTATATATATTCTATATATTATGTTATATTATAATATTTTTTTTTATTATAAATTAATAATAAAGATTACTAAAGTATTTACTAATTGTATATAAAATTTAGTTTATGATAAAACAGTATTATATTTTATGGCCTGTCCTAACAAACCGACATTAAACTATCCGATGTTAATGCCGTACACTGTTGTTGAGTACTGGATAGTACACCAATTGGGACAGCCCTACCATTAATATATATAAATATATATATCTCAATACAATCATATTATTCACGTAATCATCGGTACACTACATGTGCGGCTATAATAATCCATTGTTTGTTTAGTATAACACCCGTTACCGATAGACTCAGATAGCAGTTAGAAAAACAACTTCAAATATATATATATATATATATATATATATATATATTTTCAAGTAATATACAATATCTGTATATATACAGGGGGTGGTATAGGTGGGAGAGGGTTAGGGTGTGGGGTAAATTCAAAAACTATCAAAATCGTTATATGGGGGGAGGGGGAGGATTATGTGGTGAAAATTTTTTAATCCAAATTTGATTAAATACTCAATAAATAAACTTTTAAAGTGTTATAAATTGTTGTCAACTAATTGTTAACTTACAGCCAATTATCATATTTTAATGTTTTAGTTCAATGTATGTAATCCATGGCCACTCTCTCCCGGTTCAGTCACCCGTCCGTACTGTACTCCAGTCAACATAAGTGATGATCTGTTATACCAATGAAGACAATGTCCGACAGTTTTAGTCAACAACAGTGACTGCCGTCCGATACCACACCTGTCGAGCGTTACGTTCGGATAGTCAACAATACCCGAGTGTTGGCCAGTCATCCACACAACAGCCGATACTATGTATACTATGTGTACGTGTTTTAGACAAAAGTTTTATTATATAATTAAAATATATTATAATTATTAATATATATATATATATATATATTTAAGTGACATTTTATTATTTTCTTAAATATTTAACAAATAAAAAATATATAACTAAATATTAAAATTGAATGCAATCTACTATTGAGCTAATAATTATTAATTAATTAATAACTAAATATAATATAATTACCAATTATTATAATATTATCTAAAAACTCATATAACTCTAGTGTTGTAATCATTTCAATGCCATTCAAATATCACTATTATATGATTATTATTATATATTATAATAATATAAGTTATACTATATCTGTATATTTATTTTGTTATTTAAACTATAGTTTTTATATAATAAAAAAAATTATCAATAAATTATTTATATTTTTTTTATTATTTTTGAAAGTTTTATTACTATAAATAAATAAAATATACTAATAATTATAATATTAGTTTTGATTTAAAAAAACAAACAATTGTTGATAAAATGTATTTTTTTGTCTATTAATTGACTATATAATGCATTTACACATTAATATACAATGATATGCAATGGTATTAAATTAATCAATTATTTTAATTATTATTATTTTATTAATTACTTAATAAAAATACTATAAAAATAAATTTAAAAAAAAATATTTCTCTAATTGAATTTTTAATAAAAGCTAAATTAAGTTTTTTAACTAAATCAATTAAAATTATACAATTTTAGTATAATAAATAAATAATAATAATACAAAATAAAAATTTGTTTAAATTATAAAAATATTTTTTGGTTTTGCTTTTTCATTGTCATTGAAACAGTTTGTTATTATAGTTATTAAAACTGTTTCAGTGAAAACAAAACCAAAACATTGGATCAGTTTTTAATCAAAACTAATATTATAATTAGTATTTTTTTTGTTTATTTTAAGAGTGTTATTACTATAAATAAATAAAATACAAATAAAATATACTAATAATTATAATATTATTTTTGATTTAAAAAAACAAACAATTGTTGATAAAATGTATTTTTTTTGTCTATTCATCGACTATATAATGCATTTAAATATCAATACAATGATATGCAATGGTATTAATGCCTTAAACTGATAGCCTATAAGACATAACTATTAATAAATTTGTTTAAATTATCCAAATTATGTTTTGGTTTTGTTTTCATTGAAACAGTTATTATTGTTAGTATTATTGTTTATGTAATACATATATACAGAGTCTGTTTGACTGTCTGTTTGACTGTTTGTTTGGTTGTGTGAAGACATTGTTATTATTATTATTATTACTATTATATACTAAACAACAACAACAACAACAACAACCTCTTTGTTTGGTTTGATTGTGGATCAGATCAGACCTGAAGACACCAATCAATCAATGAATACATAATAATAATAATAATAATATCCTCTAAATATAATATCCATTGTTGTTGTTGTCATTATCTCTCTCTCTCTCTCTCTCTCTCTCTCTCTCTCATCAACAGATGATTATCTTCAGCACCAATATCTTAGTGATGGTGTGTCAGTGATAATCATATATATATATATATATACAAAGATATCATATGTACTTCAGCTGAACGGATCAATTGATTAGACTATTACTACTACTACTACTACTTGTTATTCAATGCCATTTTGACGCCCCTTTCGTTGTCATCGTTGTTGTTGTCGTCGTCTATGAAGAAGAGGAAGGGATTGTCAAGTGATCTATCAATCAATTAAACCATTCATTCATTCATTCATTAAAAACAGTCACACAATCTGGTCCGTCATCATCGCTGACATCACCAACACATTTGGTCATAATATTAATAATAATAATAAACCTCTGGATCTGATTATATATCATATAGTCTATATCTACCACTTGTTTGGCGCCGACGACGACCACCACAACTACCGCGCAAGTGATGTCTTCATCGGTTACTACAGATGACAACTCGTCGGATGATTTGCCGGATAAATATCAAAGACTTGCAGCCAAATACTCAAAGGTTTGTATCGTTTGTTTGGGTTTTGTTTTGTTTGTTTATGTAATCAATTTTATCCAAACATTTTCATCCACAACAACAACAACAACAACCAAACAAACAAACAGTTAAGAGCACAACTCAATGTACTGAAGACAGCCTTTACGGATGAACAACAAAAATGTTTGGATCAGAAATCAATGATCAACGACAAGGATCAGACACTCCGGCGATTGGAACAGGAGATGGAAAGCCTTGACTTTCGGAACCAACAGTTAGCCAAACGGGTCGGTGTTCTTCAAGACGAACTGGCATTGGCCTCTTCGTCGTCGTCGTCGACCGTAAGTCATAATAGCGGCGGCAAGAGGTGGTTGTCCTCTAGGAGTTCAAAACAACACCAACAATCATCGTCCAATCATTCAACGCCAGCGCACGGCGGCGGCAACAATACGACCAACACTGGCGGCACAATCAATGGTCACGACAACAACAGTGGTGGTGGTGACCATCAAAACAACAGTAGTAGTAGTAGTAGTAGTCTTGTATTGGATGTAATCAATGGCGAACTGGAAATGAAAATAAAGGAAAACGAAAGACTACACATCCAATTGAATAGCATTGAAATGGATTATATTCAACAGATTCAACAATTGCAGAAACAATTGGATCAATTGAAAACAGTAAGCGATGGCCACAGCCGTTCGGTTAATGAATCTCTTGAATCGAAACAATCGATTATCGATTCGCTAAATACGGATAAAGACTCGTTGGAGACAAAGCTAAGGATAATCGGAAAAGAATTGGACGAATCAAAGCGTTTGTCTCATAAACTGTAAATCAATTTCTGTTTCTCTCTCTCTCTCTCTCTCTCTCTGAAGAAATTTGTGGTTAATTTTGTTTGTCTTTCATTTATCTCACAGCGAAACTGATAAGAAAGTACTCGAACTCAAGATCGTAGGTCTGGAGGAAACTATTGGCAACAGCGGCGAGATTCGGGACAACATTTTGAAACAGGTTTGTGTTGTGGTTCGGTTCGGTCACCACATACTATACCTACACACAGAATATTCTTCTCTAACTATTGTTTTTTTTTAATAATTACCAATCAATCATTGAAATAGTTGTCAATATGTGAGTCAAAATTATCGCAATCGGAACAAAAGGTCGAACACTGGATGCTTGAGTATCAGTTACTTCAGGTTAAAGCCGATCGGGAACTAAAACGATCGCAACTAATACCGGCTGCAATAGTTGACTGTTGCGATGGACAACAGTTAGCACAACAACAACAACAACAACCTTCACAGACATTATTACGGACGACGTCGTCCTCCTCATCGACATCGACACCGTTATCGTCGACGACTGGAAGCCAGAAAAGTATCGAAATGAGTTGCAATGACTTTGCCGTCGGTTCATCCCTACAGTCGCCCACTGTTTCCAACGATGATAAGATCAGTATCAACAGTAATACGGGTATCGGCGGTGGTGTCGGCAGCAGTGGTTGTGGTGCCGCCGCCGCCGCCAATGATGAGGACACACCACCAGTGGTCACTGCATATCTACGGAACCGAATCAGTCAATTGGTCGATAGTTTGCATCAATCGGATAGCAAATCAGTTAGTTATCATACAGAATGTCTGGCACTTCAGCAGCGATTGTCGATTAGCGATAAACAACGTAAACAATTCAATAGGGATTTAATAGAAAAACAACACCAATTGGATCAATTGGCCGAAGAATTAGCGACAAATGTCCAAAATTATGAACAACAACTTGAAGTAATGTCCGAACATTTGGCTAATATGAACGATAAGCTAACAAAACAGACAGATATTATCGATTCATTTAAACAACAGAATAATAATAATAATAATAATAATACAACTAATAATACAACAAATAATACATCATATAATTCATCAATAATTAAAGTATTTTTTTTTGTTTTTTTTTAATAATTTTTGATTTTAGATTTAATTTTGTTTTTTTTTTGTTTTTTTTAGGGCAAACGTATCGTCAAAAAATAAGTAAACTGTTTGATGGATTGAAACACGGATTTTATAAAAAAAAATAATTTTTTTATTTAATTAATTAATTAATAAAACAAACAAATCATTCCAATTAACAGAGAGAGAGAGAGAGAGAGAGAGAGAGAGAGAGAGAGAGAGAGATGAATATATTATTAATTAATTAAATAACTAATTATTATTAATAAATTTTATTGTTATWTATATATATATATATATATATAAACTGTATAAATATTGATTGTATATCTATTTGCATTGTTTTCATTATAACTTTATAATAATAATTATTATTATTATTAAAATTAAATATAAATAAATAATTTATTTTAAAAAATAGTGAATTTACTTTTTTTTACAAATTGTGTTAAAAACGGCAATCTTTTTGTAAAATAAAATTTTTTTAAACAATTTTTTAACATAATATTTTAATACTTTATAACTCATATAACTCTAGTGTTAGTAATCAGTTAATTGCTATTCATATATCACTATTATATTATAATATTATAATATTACTGAATACAAGCTATAATATATCTGTATATTTATTTCAATCATTACTTAAACTATAGTTTTTATATAATATTATATAAAACATTATATATTATATTATATTTTTAAGACATATATTTAATTATTTGTAATTTAAATCATAAGAAATAAATTGAGACATATTATATAAATATATGAAAATTATTTGCTATTTAATATATAAAAATTTATGTTTTATTAGAAAATAATAATATTAGTTGATTTGTTGAACAATTTACCAAATTTAAAAAAAATTATAATTTTAATTATTTTACTAAACAGTGTTAAGTGTATCATTAGTATTATTAAAATCATTAAATAAATGTAATAATTAATTATAATGTATTGTTTAGAAATTATTATAATAATTGGTAATTACATTACATTATATTTAGTTATTAATTAATTAATTAATTATTAGCTCAATAGTAGATTGCATTAAATTATATTTATTTATTATATAATATTTTATATTTTTTTAAATATTTAAGAAAATAATATAATGTCACTTAAATATATATATATTAATAATTATAATATATTTTAGTTATAATATAAAACTTTTGTCTAAAACACATACACATAGTATACATAGTATCGGCTGTTGTGTGGATGACTGGCCAACACTCGGATATTGTTGACTATCCGAACGTAACGCTCGACAGGTGTGGTATCGGACGTCAGTCACTGTTGTTGACTAAAGATGTCGGACATTGTCTTAAATGGTATAACAGATCATCACTTATGTTGAGTGAAGTACAGTACGGACGGGTGGCTGAACCGGGAGAGTGGCCATGGATTACATTCATTGTAGTAACACTAAAATATGATAGTTGGCTGTAAGTTAGCAATTAGTTGACAACAATTTATAACACTTTAAAAGTTTATTTATTGAGTATTTAATCAAATTTGGATTAAAATTTTTCATCACATACCCACCTCTCCTATAGCCTATACCTCAAGATTTTTTTATATTTTTGTAATCTACCCCTTCCCCCCACCTATATATTTTTGTTTAATTGTTATTACATTATAGTTATCTTTTTTTTATATAGTTGTTTTAATGATTGCTATAGAAGTATATCGGGAACAGGAGTTATACTAAATAAACAATGGATTATTACTGCCGCACATGTACTGTATGTTTAAAATATAGTATTTTATTGAAAAAATACACTAAAATTCAATCAAAATTTAATATCAATTTTTTTGATATTTATAATTGAATAATAAAGTTTTTAATTAGCTATATATAAACATTATATACATTATATACATTAAATATATATAGCTTACTATTGTTTATTAATTGAAAATATTTAATCAGATTTATGACCCAAAATGAGTATAAAGATTACAAACTCCATAGTATTGTTGTCTATCCGGGAATCAATGATAAACGGGTTTTAGGAAAATCATATGAATCGGACAAACATTTTGTAAATTCTAAATACAAGTATTCATATGAAAGTGGTGACGACATTGGATTGATTAAACTGAAAGAGGAACTACCGATACACACACACCCAACCAACAACCCATTATCAACAGCACCAGTAGTACAACAATTGGACAATCAATTCATGTATACAACACAAACAATGAATAGTATTTGTTTGCCAAAAGAAAGTCTAACTAATACTAGACAAGAGTTTGCATTGTTTGCCGGTTTTGGACTTTTAAATAACAGTCAACCAAATGAGGATCGGCTGAGAATGGGTTGGACAAGGATTTCAGGACAAATGTCTAATACTACCGATGAATACGGAAAATGTATTATTGGATTAAGAGATCCCGAATATACGGGATCGGCTCTTTGTAAAGTAAGTAAATAAATATTTGTTTGTTTGTTTATATATATATATATATATATATATATATATATAATAATCAGGGTTAAGTAAGGGGGGTGGTAGGGGGTTAAAGCCAAAATACCTCTACTCAAGATTTTTCGAGAATTTTGTAAATTTCACACCAGTCAATCCCCCCCTCCCCCCACTTAAAATCTTGCTTAACACCCTGATTAATAATATATAATAAATTTTTGTTTAATACTAATAAATTATACCAAAAGTATGAAAATAATTTATAATTAATTTTTTGTTTGTTTGTAAATATATATATATATATATATATATTAAAGGGTGATTCTGGTGGTCCACTCATACAATACATTAATGATAGGGCTGTCCTAATTGGTATACAAGTCAAAGTTGATGCATTAAAGGGACAGTCGTGTACGGGATTAACAACGGATAGTCTAATGTATTTTGTTAGGATAGCCCATCAAATATCATGGATTGTACGCACTGTTACCAGAAACTAAAATAAATGTGTATTTTAATTAATTATATATTTTTTTAATATATAAATTAATTAACTAATTATATAAACATTAGTATATCTTAATACCTATTTTTTTAAATTATTAATTTGATTGCAATTTTTAATTTTTAAAAAAAAACTAGATTAAGTATCAATTGAAATAAATATACAGATATATTATAACTTGTATTTAGTTATATTATAATATTGTTATAATAAGTTGTATGCTTTTATAAATAAGACACTATTAATATTATTATAGCTTATATTATATCTAATTATCTAAGATATTATGTTAAAAAATAGTTTTATAAAATAGATTATATTATTTGTAATTTAAATCATAAGTAAAAAATCATATATATATATATGTAATATTTAATATTTAATAACAATATATAAAACTAAAAAATTTTAATTCAGTAAAGATATTACAAGTGATACCATTAGTATTATTATAATCATTAAATATATGTAATTAATAATTATTATGTATTGTTTAGTAATTATTATACTAATTGGTAATTATACTATATTTATTTTGTATTATTATTTATTTATTATGCTAAAATTATATAATTTTAATTGGTTTAATTATAATTTAATTTAGCTTTTATTAAAATTCAATTATAGAAATAATTTTTATTTAGTTTTATAGCATTTTTATTATGTAATTAAGAAAATAATAAATAAATAATTTTTTAATAATTTAATTATTATAATATATATATATATATATATATATATATTGAATGTATTTTAAATATAATAAATTTTATAAAACTTTTATCTAAAACACATACACATAGTATACATAGTATCGGCTGTTATGTCGATGACTGGCCAACACTCGGATATTGTTGACTATCCGAACGTAACGCTCGACAGGTGTGGTATCGGACGGCAGTCACTGTTGTTTGACTAAAGCTGTCGGACATTGTTTTCAATGGTATAACAGATCATCACTTATGTTGAGTATATATATATACAGTATATCAAGGTTAAGAAAGCCATTTGACGCCCGCCCCCGCCCCCGCTTAATATAGAGATTTTGGGATTTGATCTCCTAACTAGACTCTCCCTAAAATCCAATTAACACTGATATATATATATATATATATATATATATATATATACACTATATGATAAAAGTCAATGATTTCTCAAGTGTTGTTAACCAACAAAAAATTTTGGATCAATTGATTCATCAAAAAAAAACAAATAATAAAAAAATAAAAACTAAAAAAAAATCTAAATAATTTAACATCGATTGTTAGCCAAACACACACAAAAAAAATCACAAAACAAATAATAGTTTCCATATTTATCTAAATATTAAAAAAATTGCTAATTTGGTCCCAAATATATATATATAAGTTATACTCTATTTTTGTTTTGTTTTTCAAATATATATATATATTTTTTAAAAATTGATTATAAAATTCAGAGTCCGAAACCTGTTTATAACATAACCTCCTAATTGTGTGAATAATTAATTACCTATTATTTTGTTGTAATTTTGTTATAACAATTGATTTCTTCTTTTTTTTAAAAAAAACTGTCGATTAATATCTAAAAAATATTTATAAAAAAATTTGTTTTTTTTGACTTTCATTTTCATCTTATTTTTTCGAGTGTTTGTTAATCATTCATATCGTTGTCTTTAAGTGATGTCAAACATGTCTTAAGCAGTTGGACTTCGGCCTACAAAACAAAAATTTATCGGTAATTAAACAAAACATTTATATAATGTAGTTGTCATCGACCACATACACACACACACACACACACACACATACATACATACATACATACATACATACATACATACATACATACATACATACATACATACATACATACATACATACATACATTATAAAAAAATATTATAATATAACATATAGAATATACTGTATATGTATAGTAATATAAAAAAATTAATTAATACAGTATATAATATATAATCAATTAATAAAATATATAAAATTTTCTAAATATATTTGATTTGAAATTTTTATAATTGAAATAATATATATAACTAATACAAAAAATAAATGTAATTAATTAAAACAGTATATAATATATAATCAATTAATAAAATATATATGAAATGAAATCAATTAATATAGTAAAGTACTATAAAATATTATAAATATATTTTATAACATTTAAATAATAATAATAATAATAATAGATAATTATATACCGTATATATGTTTAAAAATTATAGTAATATCTACGATATCGGTAAAAAATGCCGCCGATAAGCATCGCTACCATAACAACAACTGCCATACCTATCATTATAATATATGGCCAGTAGTTAGTGTAGGTATGGCTTGCTTTCATTTTAGTTGCTTTATCTTGAGTTATATAAATTATCCGGTCCTGGCTATTTTGTGTCGGCATTAGTATATTGCTGTTGGTTGTGGTGGTGGTCCTGTCGGTGCTGATAGTTGTTGTTGTTGTTGTTGTTGGTGATGTTGTTGTTGTTGGTGATGTTGTAGTGGTTTTACTGATATCCCTAACTGTTGTGTACGAACGGACAGCGAAAGTGGCCACAATAGTATCCGAAACGGGTATCGAAATAGTATTTTTGCCGATTTTAATCGAGATTGACTGTCCGTTTAGTTTGTTGTCGCGCGGTATAGGATATCGTAGATTTGTAAACCTTTTAATTGGTCGGTTGATCCAACAATTTCGGTCCGATGCCCGAAACAATTAGATCGGCAGTTGGTATGAGTTGTTCATATTGTTGAACGTTTGGACAACGGCTGTCACTTCGACACTCGTATATGGATTGACTGTAATTTTTTTATTGATCTCATATGTCTGATCCACAGTCTGTATAATACTTTCTCCTTTAAATTGATTGTCGATTTGTTGTCCGATTAGTAGATCACGTCTTTGAACGTTAAACCATAGGAAAAAACCACAATTTGAATCCAATTTCAACCGAATAATCACTTTTGTAGTCATTTTTGATGATTTTCGTAAAGTTTTGACAACTAAGTTGTGTTGTGAATGATTTGTGAATTGTATGCTTAATGGTCTCCTCTTGTATGGTATTCGCGGGATTGTCTATCACTGAACTGTAAAGTATATCGGCCTTCAGTGCCGCCGATTTCTGTCCAATTAGATCCTTGAAAAATAAATATATAAATTTAATTTAATTTAATTAATTAGAGATAAAGAGAGAGAGAGAGAGAGAGAGAGAGAGAGAGAGAGAGAGAGAGAGAGAGAGAGAGAGAGAGAGAGAGAGAGAGAGATTTAATTAAACCATATAGTTGTTGACGAGCTTTACGTTATCCAATCGGGCGGTTAGTTTGAACCGATTTTTGTCAACCGGACTGATCCTTACTTTGCAGTGTATATCTGAAAATATTTTTAAAAAATAAATATAAAAAATATATAATTATTTTTTTTTGCAAATAAAAACATTTTGATTATAAAATAATAATAATTTTTACTTCTCTTTTTAATCTCCAATGTGTAGAGTGTCGACGGTTTTTGTTGGGATCCATGATATGTTAATTGAACCAAATCTGTTATGTCGTAGGCATTGGTGAGTATATATAGATGAGCTGTAGTGTTGGCCAAAACAAACTTAACAATGCCTTCATAGGTCTGTATGTTATGGTCTTGACAGCCAACCATACTATCCTTGAAATGCCGATCAATACTCATAGAGTATAACAAATCTTCGTAGAGTTCCGTCCGGTTGTTTGCTCTGTCCAATACACGACTGTCCAAATGTGCCGATTGTTGTTCCCAACAATTTGCTATCATTATTGGATAAAACAATAGCAAAATCAATATAATAGACAACATAGTTGTTGTTTTGATTGTTTGCTAAATAATTATTAACTAAATTATAGTACTTAGTATTTAACTATACAAAAAAATATTTAATATAAAAAAATTAAAAAAAAATAATAATTATAACTAAACAGTTATAAGTGATTATGAAATTTAAAAAACAACACAATTTATAAGCCCTTTATATACCTTTTTATCAGATATTATATAATATATATATTTTATATACTTTATTATTATTATTACTGAAATCTAAATCTAATAACTATTAAAATTTTTTAAATTATTTTATTTAATAGATAAATATTATTATATCATTGGTTATCTAAATAATGATATCATATATAAATATAAGTAATAGTCTATAAAAATTGTATTAAAATCTATTTTTGTATAATTATAAGTAATTAGTTAACATATTTTGTGAGTAATTCATAATATTTTTTTTTTAAAAACAAAACAATTATTCCAGTATTAAATTTAAATATTTTTTTATTTAGTTAAAAGTTTTAATAATAACATAGAAAATTTGTTTTTTTATTTACTGTAACTTGATTTCAAAATATTATTTCAATTATTTAATATTAAATTTTTTAAATAAATAAATAAATATTATTATTATAGCAAACATTACACCATTTAGTTTGAATGATATTTTTAATTTAAAGTTATGTTTAATTTGATACTTTTCCACAAACAACTATAAATAATATTATTTATAAAAAAAATATTAATTCAATTAGTGTGATTTGATTTAATTTATAGATTTATATAAATATATTATTAAATACTATAAATATATTTAATATTATTACTAATACTAATAGTATTATTAGATATCATATTATATAGATATTATATTATTAGATAGATATTTATATATGATTTTTTACGTATGATTTAAATTACAAAAATAATATAATCTATTTTTTTAAACAATTTTTTAACATAATATCTTAAATAATATTTTAATACTCATATAACTCTAGTGTTAGTAATCAGTTAATTGCTATTCATATATCACTATTATATTATAATATTATAATATTACTGAATACAAGCTATAATATATCTGTATATTTATTTCAATCATTACTTAAACTATAGTTTTTATATAATATTATATAAAACATTACATATTATATTATATTTCTAAGATATATATTTAATTATTTGTAATTTAAATCATAAAAAATAAATTGAAAGATATTATATATTTAAATGAAAAAAATATTTGCTATTTTATATATAAAAATAAATTATTAGAAAATATTAATATTAGTTGATTTATTGAACAATTTAGCAAAATTTTAAAAAATAGTATTTAAGTGTTAAGTATTAATATTACAAGTGTATCAATAGTATTACTATTATTATTAAAATCACTAAATAAATTTAATAAATAATTATAATGTATTGTTTAGAAATTATTATAATAATTGGTAATTACTGTATATTACATTATATTTTGTTATTAATTAATTAATAATTATTAGCTCAATAGTAGATTGCATTCAATTTTAATATTTAGTTATATATTTTTTATTTGTTAAATATTTAAAAATAAAATATCACTTAAATATATATATATAATAATTATAATATATTTTAATTATATTATAAAACTTTTGTCTAAAACACGTACACATAGTATACATAGTATCGTCTGTTATGTCGATGACTGGCCAACACTCGGATATTGTTGACTATCCGAACGTAACGCTCGACAGGTGTGGTATCGGACGGCAGTCACTGTTGTTGACTAAAGATGTCGGACATTGTCTTAAATGGTATAACAGATCATCACTTATGTTGAGTGAAGTACAGTACGGACGGGTGGCTGAACCGGGAGAGTGGCCATGGATTACATACATTAAAATAAAACTAAAATATGATAGTTGGCTGTAAGTTAGTTGAGTGAGTGAGTGAGTGAGTGATTTATATTTTGGTTTAATTGATATTACATTAAAGTTATCTTTTTATAGTTGTTTTAAAGTATTACCCCCTCCCTCACCTATACCACCTGAAAGCAACTCTAATATATATATATTTCTTGACAATTATATATTTTTTCAGTTGTTTTAATGATTGCTATGTGACTCTATCGGGAACAGGAGTTATACTAAATAAACAATGGATTATTACTGCCGCACATGTACTGTATGTTTAAAATATATTATTTTATTGGAAAAAAATACAATAAAATACAATTAAATTTAATATCATTTTTTTTATACTTATAATTGATTAATTTTATAATTTATATATAGCTTATAAGCTTACTATTGTTTATTAATTGAAAATATTTAATCAGATTTATGACCCAAAATGAGTATAAAGACTACAAACTCCATAGTATTGTTGTCTATCCGGGAATCAATGATAAACGTGTTTTAGGAAAATCATATGAATCGGACAAACATTTTGCAAATCCTTTATACAAGTACTCACATAATAGCCGTGACGACATTGGATTGATTAAACTGAAAGAGGAACTACCGATACACACACACCCAACCAACAACCCATTATCAACAGCACCAGTAGTACAACAATCGGACAATCAATTCATGTATACAACACAAACAATGAATAGTATTTGTTTGCCAAAAGAAAGTCAAACTAATTTTAGACAAGAGTTTGCATTGTTTGCCGGTTTTGGACATTTAAATAATAGTCAACCAAATGAGGATCGGCTGAGAATGGGTTGGACAAGAATTTCAGGACAAATGTCTAATACTACCGATGAATACGGAAAATGTATTGTTGCGGTCAGAGATCCCGAATATACGGGATCGGCCTCTTGTAAAGTAAGTAAATAAATATTTTGTTTGTTTTTATATATTATATATATATATCATAATAAACTAATAAATTATACAAAAAAAAAGTATGAAAATAATTTATAATTAATTTTTTGTTGTTGTTGTTTGAAATTCAAAATTAAAGGGTGATTCTGGTGGTCCACTCATACAATTTATTAATGGTAGGGCTGTCCTAATTGGTGTGCTATCCAGTGGTTCGGCACCACCGGAAGAAACATGTACTGAAAGATTAACGTATTTTGTTAGGATAGCCCATCAAATATTATGGATTGTACGCACTGTTAGCCGAAACTAAAAATATTAATGTGTTTTTTAATTAATTATATATTTTTTTAATATATAAATTAATTAACTAATTGTAATTAAAATCATAAGAAATAAATTGATATTATTATTATTATAAAAATATTAATTATACATTTATTAGTGTTTTTTAATTAATTATATATTTTTTTAATATATAAATTAATTAACTAATTGTAATTAAAATCATAAGAAATAAATTGATACATATTTATTTTAAAATCAATTTTTTTTAATTATACATTTATTAGAAAATATTACAAGTGATACCATTATTATTATTATTATTATTATTATTATTATTATTATTATTATTATTATTATTATTATTATTATTATTATTATTATTATTATTATTATTATTATTATTATTATTATTATTATTATTATTATTATTATTATTATTATTATTATTATTATTATTATTATTATTATTATTATTATTATTATTATTATTATTATTATTATTATTATTATTATTATTATTATTATTATTAGTATTAATATCATTAATTATAAGTAATATATAATTATTATAAATTGTTTAGTAATTATAATAATAATTTGCTAATTATACTATATTTAGTTTACTTATGATTTAAATTACAAATAATATTATCTATTTTTAAACAATTTTTTTAGAAAATATCTTACATTATATTTTTATAATACTTTTATAATAATATTAATAGAGTTTTATTTATAAAAACATATTCATTACAAAGCTATAAAAAGTTTAAGTTAACGGATATATTATATTGATATTATAATAATTAGTATTAATTATTATTTATTTTTATTTTTTAAAAAGTCCATACAATTTAATATAAAAAATAATAATTGTTTTTAAAAAAAATATTAATTATGATAAACAGTTTTATGTTGTTAATTGAATATAATTTTTCATTAAATTATTAGTATTATATTTAAATTTTAAACTACAAAAAAAATGTTTTGCATTTTTCAATAGTTTCAATATTTTTATTTCGATATATTATAGAAAAAAGTTATTATAATGTATTTTTTTATTATATAATAAATAATATTATAATATTACTGAATACAAGTTATTATATTATATCTATATATTTATTTCAATAATTGTTACTGTATAATAATATTATTATTTTTTAATAAAAATAAATAAATAATATATTAATTAAATTTTCACTTTTTTTTTATTTAAAAACAAAACAAAACACAAGTTTTCTAATAGTTTAATATATATATATCGTATATATAAAGTGATTATTGATTATTATTATTATTATTATTAAGTTTTTTTTGTTATAACATACTATAAAATTCTCACATTTAAATAATTAATAGATTTATTGAACAACACTTTATATATATATATTTGAAATTAATAATTAAAATCTAATAACAATTACTGTATAAATTACATAAAGTCATCAATATGATTTTTTAAAAACAGCTGTATTACTACAATATACTGTATATTTGTATATATATATAATATATAAGTGGAAAATATCTGTATTTTATTTTATAAACTTAAATTAATAATATAATACTATTTAAATACAGTATTAATGCATGTAAACTAACAATAGTAGTAATAGTAATAATTAATTAATAGTTAATTAAATTGTAATAAAAAAATAAATTTTACTAATAATAAATAATTATATATTTATTTAAAACCTGTTATTTTATTAAATTGATTATAATTTACTTATTAAATAATAATAGTTAAAATGTGTTAACAAAAATTTTTTATTATCTTAATTTTTATTAATTATTAATTCAAATAAAAAAATATTATTATCAAACAATTTTCTACAAATAAAATTTATTTTATATGCTTTTAACTAGTATTTTATGTATAATTATAATTTATTATTTTCTCGATTATTATTATTATTATTCTAATTAAATTAATTATTTTTTTTATATAAATAAAAAATCAATTAGCATTACCATCATTGTTGTTGTTGTTATCGGACTATAATTAAAAATAAATAAATAAAATTATTAATTAATTAATTAATATTTAAAAACAATTTACTTATTCAAAAATATTTATTTTTTAATTTTCTACTTGGTGCAATCTAATAAAATTTTAGGGCATAAATATGCTCGGGGACATTTTTGATAGATTGTCTGCTTTTCCAAAAAAAAAATACAAAATTAAAAGACAAAACAGTGACCAAAAAAAAATATTCAAAAAAATAACATAATTATTATTATTTATTTTTATACATTTTATTTTTGTTAGTGTAAACTACTACTACTGCTGATGCTCGCCTCCCGGTGCCGGTAGTGGCAAATCATTGGGTTGGGGTTCACCAAAATCTGGTAGTCCATCATCTGGTTTCCATTGGAATTGCTGAGCACAGGGCATGTCTGCCCGAATTGTGTACATTGATTGCCAGTTGGCTGATCGTTGCCGTGATACAGGAGCCACCATTCACGGCCATCGGGTGACCGAAAAATACAGTTATGACCGGCCGAATAGACATGCGTACGATCGGACCCATTGAATACAGGTTCCGGCCGTTTTTGCCAATGTCGGTGATTCAAAGGGGTCGGAACCGATACAGTAGTGATCGTTCGCCAGTAGGCTTCTACGCTGATTGCTCATTGGTTTGATAAACAATTGTTGTCTACCTTGGTCATCGTAGGCACCCATTAGATATAGTTTATTATGGATCTGTATGAAACTGGCATCCACTTGTAATGTAGTATCTGTTTTACCAATTAGATCGGCCTATAATTAATTAATTAATTAATTTTTGTTGTTAAAAATGCAAACGTACAAATAGTCAAATATATAATTTAATAATTACAGGTAATACTAATACACATACACATACACATACACATACACATACACATACACATACACATACACATACACATACACATACACATACACATACACATACACATACACATACACATACACATACACATACACATACACATACACATACACATACACATACACATACACATACACATACACATACACATACACATACACATACACATACACATACACATACACATACACATACACATACACATACACATACACATACGCATACACATACACATACAGTATATAAACTACCTTGAAATGATAGGGACCCATAGGGTCATCCCCGTCGCTTTCGGCTACATGTAGACGCTGTGTACTAATATCATCGGTACGGGCGGCCGCATAGTACAGATACCAGCGACCGTTCCACTGGTGCAGTTCCGGTGCCCACGTATGCTTGAGCTGGTGTGTGTAAACCACTTGCCTCTGGGCCGACCTAATGCCGTCCAATGTCCTCGATTTGCGTATACGTACCGTATTGTCATCGGTGGTCGACATAAAATAATAGTAGCCCTTATAGACTACCATCCAGGGATCACCCGATGAATGTGATATAGGATTAGTATATGTATTGTTGTTGTTGTTGTTGTTGTTGGCATTAATTAGTTTAATATCAATAATATTGATTGAAAATAATAATATTAAAAATAATTTCAAAAAAATCATATTTTGATTTTTATTATTTTTAAAAAATAAATAAATATTTAAATGCTATAAAACAAAATACAAAATAAAATTTATTAAATAATTATTTTAATTTATTTATCATAAAAAGTTGTTTTTTGTCTGAATCTAATATCATAATATAAAATAAAATATCAGTAAAATATCAAACTAAAAATAATATATTAATTTTTTTATTTAAACAAGATTTTAATATTTTATATAAAGTTATTTTTTTATTTATTTATATTTTTTATTATTAATTTTGTTGTTGTTATAATATATGATAAAATTCTCACATTTAAACAATTAATAGATTGACTGATTGATTAAACAAAGCTTTATATATATATATATATATATATATTTGTAATTAATAATTAAAATGTAATAACAATTACTGTATAAATTATATAAAGTCATCAATAT